ATACGCTCGACGGCAGTCATATAGGACTCGAGATCTGCCGAGCATTTGATGGCGTACTGAGTGGTCGTCGTTAGGGTTAGGGCTGACAGACGAGTCAAACACAGGATTTGATTAATTTGTATGAATTTATGGTCACTTCCAGTGATATCTCACCGGAGGATATGATAAGTCCGGCACTCCCTCCCGGAAGTCCTATACAAATATATTACGAATATTCTGTAATTCTGCTGAATATATGGGTTAGCATTGTATGTAATGACAAACCTTCGGGATATAGCATAACAAAGGCCACGACTGCCGTGATATACAGCACACAAATCCAGTCCATTAACACACCGAAGCCCCGGGAGGTACAGATGTATAAGAAGAATGTGGAGGTGTTGTCGTTCTGGTGGCGACCAAACTGGCGCTCAAACAGGTTTTGGACACCAAATGATCGTATAGTCGACAGACCCGTCAGTGTTGTGCTGACGTGCGAGTAGACTGGACTACGGGCTGTCATAAAAAGTTGTTCACAATTATTAAGTTAATTGTATTTTGTATGAAACGGCATAGGAGTACATACAGAGCCCCTCCATGCGTTTGATATCCCTGGCCGCCCGGATGTAGAGAACTCGACTTAAGAATACCAATAATAGCAAAACGATTGCCGGAAATACGAGAATCCAGTTGACGATTGCGTTCACTATTAGGTTCCCGATTACCAGGGATATGGACTTTTTGTATAACAAAAATTATACAGAATTAGTATTGGTGTATAACCAATAATGGATACCCAGTATTAATTAAGTAATGTTACAGTAAACCGCATTAGTACAGTACTATCTTATTATAATAAGTTACTATAATTTTAGACAATTATAATAAAATACAAACTATTATGAAATCAAACGCATTGGACGGTAGGAGCTCGTCCACAATACCGGTGTCTTTCGTGAAGCGATTAAGTATTTGACCTAAAAATTAATTTAATTATTTTTAATGCTAATTTTCACATCAAAATCGGTGACTACCGGTGCCGTACCTATGGGCGCGCTCTCGAACAGGTGTATGGGTGCTCTCAATAGCGAGTAGAATATACTGTCGTATAGTTTAACCGACGATCGCATGCATAGTGTGTAATGTGTGACAGTGTTTATGAACACCGATAGTATTAGGGCTCCGATTAGGCACGAGTACACTATTATGTTGTAATCCCTGTCCACCGTATCGCCAGTGCTCTCGGAGTTTGTCCTTTTAAGCAAACAAATTAATTTACAAAACTATAGCCCAACTTATATTATACAGAATATTCTGTATGATGACTACCCTGTTTATTAATGGATATGTATGGCGTATATGGCATATACTGACCACTGGGTTAGCCATAGGTCGCTAGACTGGTATAATACTTGTGATAATACAGTCACGGATATCGTGAATATGAAAAGTAGTGGTCCGGCGCCTGCTTTCGTGTAATCCCAATACACACGTCTTTCCACTGAACCCGTCTTTTTAGTCTCTTTCTTGATCTCCATTTCCTTCTCTACTTCAATGGCTTCCAACACGTCTACCACCCCTTCACTACTGGCCATCTCCGAGGCGTCACCGATACTACTGGGTATGGATGGCATCGCCAGCGCACCGGCAGTATAGTTGAGATTCAAGTTTAAGCCGTCCTTTGACGGCATTCCTTCTATGGGCTTAATGTATGACAAGAAGTCAAATCCCGACTTCTTGAGCTCCTCATAACTGCCCAGTGCTATACACTTGCCTTCATTGAGCACCAGTATCTTATGGGCCTCTTTGAGGAACTGGATCTGATGTGTCACTAGAATACGGGCTTTTGATCTCAAGTGATCCACAATACACCTGTCAATCGGAAACATGATTTAATTTATTGTCATTCATTTTAATGATAAACTAATGGGCAGTTCACTAAATATATTCGGAAAATTTAGATTTAATTTTGTCCTGGTGCAACAAATTATATTCTGATATAATTTATAGGTATTAATGATTAGCCCCTCTATTATTGCATAATATATTTACTTAATAAACTGAAAATGAGATAAAAAAATACTGTACTTTTGAAATAGATGTTTAGCCACCTGTGCGTCCACTGCCGACAAGGGGTCGTCCAATAAGTAGATGTCCGCCTCGTGATACACGGCACGCGCCAACGTAATGCGAGCCCTCTGTCCCCCACTGAGGGATACCCCGCGCTCCCCAACCAGTGTTTTGTCCCCATAAGGAAATAGCTTGAAATCCCTGTCCAGTGCACACACTTTCACCACTTTGTCGTACTTTTGTTGATCATATGGCGAACCGAACAGAATATTCTCTCTGACGGTCGACATGAAAGCCCACGACTCCTGCGGGGCGTACGACACCCGACCCCTCACGCCGAGGGAACCGGACTCCGGACTCAACTCATTCAGTATTGACATCAATAGCGAGCTCTGGGTTTGAATTTGTTATGAAATTAATTAGATTTTTAATTGAATTTTTACTATAAATAATTGAACAGTATGTATTTGAATACCTTTCCACAACCTACCGTTCCGATAACGGCTAACAGTTCGCCAGATTTTACGCTTACAGTAATGTCTGTAAGGGTCGGCTCTATTGATTCCTAATGAGAGTAAATGTCTTTGAAAAATATATCATAGATTAGAGATTAGATAAGCGATTCATACATTATTCCAGCGGACGGTTAGGTTATCAATGAAAACACCCTTTTCTGCGCAAATATTTCCCGTAATAATTTTCTCATCCCTTTCCACATTATCATCAAATTTATTTGCATTTAACTCATCGCTGGCTACCATCTCATCGAGCAGTAAAAAAGTCTACAAAAAGTTGGGCTAATAATGAAAATACACGTCTTTTAGATGACAAACCTCTTGACACAGACCTGAATCCTATGCATAACCACCCGGAGCTCGGCGGTGGCGGCGATACAATTGGGGAACTGTTTGGTGATCGTTATCCTCATGATATTGAAGAAGGCAATCGACACGAACACCCGCTCCGACGTCAGCTCCCGTCCCATCAGCACAAGTGTCACAAAGCAGGCAAACCCTATGATCCGGACGGCCATGAAGTAAAACGACAGGTTTATGCCCTTCAGAAAACTCGATTGTCTTATCCGTTGGATCTCTTTCCTATGGTTTTTGATAATTAATTAAAATATAATTTAATTTTCAAAATACAATGTCATTCATCAAAAACTGTTTAACACATACTTGCGGGCCGTGGAGACTAACTGCGCGAATGGCTGCTCCCAGGTATACATCTTAATGACTCGCATACCGGCGATGATCTCATTCATCAGTCGTATCCTATTATCCGTCAATTGAGCCGTTTTTCGGCGTATACTCTGAAACATACGGCCCATCAGTCCCTGGAATGGTATGAACAGCAATAGGACGGCGACGCCGGCTAAACACGCGTACTCCAGGTGCCCCCATAGGATGTAGATTACCAGGGCTAACTGTAGGGGTGCCACTAGTATGGAGTGACACCAGAATGCAAACTAGAGTATAATAAATTAATTTAATTAAATATTTTCTATATAATAAACAATTGAAATAATGAAAACATTTAATAAATATTAGCTATAAAATGGTCATAAAGTAGTGAATACCTCATCGAAACGGTTGGCATCATTGGACATCATATTAATGATCTGACCCACAGTTGTCTTTCCCAATGATGTACGACTCAATCTCATAGACTGATGGGATGCACAGGTAGTACAGAAATTGGCACTCAATTAAAGTATTATAATTAAAACAGTTGTTTAATGTCATACTTTTCTATAGATTAGTGCACAACAGGCTGTCCGCATACGGAGTCCCGTTTTCATCATATATACGAAATTCAAATGAGTTGAGTGTAGGATCAGTATAGAGCACAGGACTATACCGCCCGCCGACCAGTAAGCATAGGTTAGGCTTATATCGGCGCCGTTGGTCTGAAAATATCTCACCACAAACCCTAGTAATACTGTTTGGCCTACTTTTACCACCACTTCCTTAATTAATAAAATTATTTATGATTACTGTAGAGGGGGTAGGGATGCGAGGAGTGAAGCCATACCTGAACGGCTGAAACCACGGCACAAATGAATAGATCGAAACCAAAGGCCCGGAAAAGTGCCCGAAAAAGGCTCGGATTCTTGCCTTTCAACTCACGTTTCCATTGACTGTAAATAGTCTCACATTTTAAGGGAATTCATAATAAATAAAGTTATCATAAA